GGCCGAGCCCGGTCCCCGCCTCCAGTCCTCCCCCTGCCAGGCGGATCTGCCGAATAGCGCTGGAGGAGGAGCCGCCTCGACCTGCCGCCCCTCGGCGCGCACGGCGGCTGCTCGTGGCCTGCGGCTCCTCCGCCACCGGCGAGAACCAGGGGGGCGGAGCGCAGGAAGGGCGGGCGGTGGCATGCCTATATTTGGGGAGACCGGGACCCTCGCCCCGTCCCGGCTGGGGGGACAGGAGCGCAGGGCGCAGCTGGTGGATCCTGTCCCTCCCTTCTTCTCCGAGCGCGCCCAAGCTTAGATGAAGCGAATCGGGGAGCGAGCGAGCGATCCGCTGCCCGCACCCTGCAAGTTGCCTGCCTCCGGAGCGCCGCGTGGATGGGCGATGTAGCCCCCAAACTCAGACAGCGCCTCGTTGCCAGCCGTAAGGAGTCGGACAGAACCCGAGCAAGGTTGAAAAGTCGCGGTGGAGCAAAGGTTGGAGCGGCTGAACTCGGCGCTGGGTGGGAGAAAACGACCGCGCCATGGCCTCTGGAACAGAGAAAGTGGGCATGTTCCACCCACCACCTCCCCATAAGCTGACTTCTCTGGGTGGGTCTCCCTCTTCGGCTTAGTTGGGCTTAGCCCGTCCTGTCCTTGGGAGGCTGTTAATAACGTTGGAACAACCAGTTTCAGAGTCAGAACATCTCAGCCTCTCAAAATCTTGGGCGCTCCTCTAATAGGGAAACTGGGGGACCGACTCTCAACTCTCTGAACACTTCGTCCTTCAGTGGCTCTGCTCCACTTCAGCCCACTAACTGCAAATGTCCTGAAACAGCCGACCTGGACTTCATTCATACTGTAGTTCTAATACCATCACAAAGTGGGTGGGTATCACTTAAGATTTCCCCCCAAAAAACAATACATTATTAACTGCTTCCCACAGAACTGCATCTCAGAGCCACTTACAATAAAATCAAGTTGCAACCATCCCCCCTCCCTCCAAATTAAAGCAATATAATATACAGCAATTAGAATAGGGGGGGGGGGTTGAAAATAAGAACAAAACAGAAACAACTCATCCAAGAGTCATCCAGGGAAAGCAGGATTAAAACGGAGATTTCACCTCTTGTCTCATTGCTATCCTTGAAGCAGCCTGTAGCATTTTCACAAACATTATGCCCTTCTCCCCCAGCCCTCCAAAAAAGCCAGACCTTGATTATGTTGAATACTTTGCAAAGCAGTGCACTGGGGCAGTTCTGGCTGTAAAAGAGAAAAAACACTTAAGTTTAAAAGTGAGAAAATGTTTTACCTGGGGCTATCCAGTTTTAAGACTGAAAGAGCTCAATTCTCCAGCTTTTCATGGGGAGGGGGGGAAAAAGGGTTTTGTGCTGTGCATAGATAGACGCACCCACCAAATTAAAAAGAGAGCTAGTTTGGGGTAGTGGTTAAGGCTCCAGGCTAGAAACTGAGAGGTTGTGAATTCGAGTCCTGCCTTAGGCATGAAGACAGCTGGGTGACCTTGGGCAGTCCCTCTCTTTCAGCCCTAGGAAGAAGGAGGCAAGGGCAAAACATTTCTGAAATCTTGCCAAGAAAACTGCAGGGACTAGTCCAGGCAGTCACCAAGAGTCAACACTGATTCAAAGACACACACACACACACACCCCAAATTAAAATATAGTCCCCAGTTTAAGAACGAGTTCCATTCCCAAAGTCTGTCCTTAAGTTGAATTTGTATGTAAGCCGGAACAGTATTATCATATAATCCTATGTAAGTAGTATTGTGTAATGAACTTGAAACATTGTGTATTTAACTCAAATCATTGTGTATTGAACTCGAACTTTGCTACAATAGGCTGCGTTCTTAACTATGGGTTGTCCGTAAACTGGGCATTCATAACTCAAGGACTACCCGTATATACCACTCAGTGATAAAATGACCCCAAACACTGGTCATCTGAAAGAGTCACTCTTTCCGCGTTCTCCTTTTTGACAAATGTTGTATCATTTTGATATAAAGTTCAGAGGAAGCATCAGAGTAGCAGAAACATTTGGAATGGACAGCCTACGTGCTTATCACAAAATAGGTTTACTTACAGAGTGATCCTCCTGTTTCCTGCTTCAAGCTGGCTATGTGCAAAGACACGGATACTTTCCTTGGGACAAAATTCAGGCTTGGACAGTGATCTGTGCAGAAAGAAAATCTTCAGGTGTATAAATTCATTCTCCGCCGGGCTGCCTGTTCCAGCATCACAAATAACTTTCCACACCATTCCTTTGTTACCAGAAGCAGCATGAACAATCAGTTGATCAGGAGCCAGGATATATTGCCTCCTTCAAGCATTAATTTATTTTATTTAAACCCTGCCTTTCCTTCAGGAGCAGAAGGCAACCAACTTCGTGTTCCCTCCTTCTGGTTTTCCCAGAAACATACATCCGACAAGCGTAATTGGGAAAAATTATACTGATCGGAGGGGGGGGGAAGTGCTTATTGGAACAATGAGCGGTAAAGAATTGTGCTGGATCATAAAGATCTTGCCAAGACAGATGGGAGCAGGACAGGTCCCAGGTTCTAAAACAGGATCTTGTCTTTGGTGGGTGGATCCTTAGGAAGGGATAGATGAAATCTGTTGGCTCCTGGGAACCAAAACAAGGATAAATCAGGGCACTGTTTTTCTTCTGGATGTAACAGGAGCAGAAACAGTTTCACATTATATTTTATACCCGTTGAGCTATTGCTGAAGGCAAGAATATTATCAGCCTGATGGTTTCCTGTTCAGGGGGCAACCCTACTGTTTTTTTCTGGACAAGAGTTGTCAATCCATCTTTCCATAATCAGCAAGAAGGATCAGAAGAGCACAGCCAACCTCCAAGCCCAGATTTCCAATATTTGATTTCATTTCCAATATTTTATCCTCTGTTCCTTGTTTTGCTTCTGTGGGTTCTGCTCTCCAGGGAAGAAGGCCCAAGAGAAGCATTATCTATTGTGCCTTTGAATCCATGTTGATTCCTGGAGACTGCCAGGAGAAGTCCCTGCAGTTTTCTTAGCAAGATGTCAGAAGGGGTTTGCCCTGGCCTCCTTCTTC